TGATCTGGAATCTTTATTGAAAACAAGTTTGAAAGTTTATTACTACATTCACTTCATCTTATAAAAGGCCATGAAATTCTGCATGTGAGAATTCGGTGTGTTCCCAGGTTCCAGCCCCGCCCTCTCTCTCTGACCTCATTGCAGCCCTGCCCCCATGCCTTAGAACAGGAGAAATTGATCGCATTTCCTAAATAGCGTTAGCCACCTCACTGACCGATATTCCTTACCGCCCGGCGTGGCCCTTTAAATGTGCGGCCCTTTACAGCTCCAGCTCTGAAAATGGCGGCATCCCGTCTAACTGACAGGCGCACCCACATGAGTACATTACCCCGGGCGTACATTTCCTGAGCCAGATCTATAAAAGCAGCAAATCAAGGAGAGTAGGCGGCTGATCAATTTCTCTTTCATGTAATAGCATATGTTTTTGATGCCGTTTCCTTTAATGAGGTATCTCGAGTGAATTTTCAAGGGAGGAAGGTTTCCATGTCGCAGGAACGTGATCCATCCTCGTCCCATCTTTACAATCAAAGCACATGCTTTGCAGAGGGTTGTGTGCGTCACACATTGTCACTCAGAGCCGGAACGTCTCTCTGTTAGGTAGTAGGATTGAACATTGGGTAAAAGTGTGATTTAGTTGTCATGTCAGACATTTCTTTATCAGCGCTAACAAGTGAAGTGTTTTCAGAAAAAGAACTACTCCATTGTGTGAATCTCATACTTTAGATGTATGGGTTACAATGGAACACTGATAGACTCATGAAAAGAGAAGGCAACTGCCTGAGAGTGACAAATGTACGATGTGCGTCAGCTTGGTGCAAAAGGGTCCCATGCAAAACCCCCCAACCCAACTAAGTTGTGGCCTTTGCCTTCTCAGTCCTGCAGCTACCTTTTGTTACGTGTAGCCACCGGGAGTGGGGTGTTACTGACAGGTTTGGCCTAACTTGGGGCTAACCCAGGCACTTCACACATCCCTAGTAACTAACAACTACCAGCTGAAGGTGGAGTTGATTCAAAGTCACATAAGCAATTTTATTTTTTTCTTGTTCATACCATCCAACAACCAAAGGCCTCTTTTGAAATATTCATAGGGCATTGATTAATCAACATCAGTGGCCAATGGCAGGGGTGCCCCTAGAGTTTTTGGCACCTGAGGTTGCTGGTGGTGCACGTTACGGGGTGGCTATGGTAGTACTGGTAGTGCACTGGGGGGGGGTACACATTACTTATGGCTCTGTCCGCCGTCCCGCCCAACTCACTGGCATAACTGGTTGCCAAAAGCTGGGCGGGACGCTAGCCAGAGCATCCAGCTCTGCTCCTGGCAACCAGTGACGTCAGTGGTTTTCGGGAACTGGGCGGGATGCTGGCCAGAGCATCTCAGGTTGCTAAGAGCTCATAGCAACCTGGGACGCTCTGGCCAGAAAGGGGGCAACAGGCACGCCTGTCCCCACCCCGCGTGACCCAAAGAGATGCCGCCTCTTTATAGGAACTGCCCTGATCAATGGTATAATGCACACTCTTGTTAAGGCACATTAGAGAAAAATCGAAATTTGTGCATCCATCGGCATACTAGATACTCTGAACCCTTCTAAACGCATGTAAATGCCAGCACATTTAAAATTTGTAGAACTTAATCTGAGAAGTATAAGGTATGTTTATACTTCCCAGATGATTGTATGTGTTTAACCCCTTTATGCCAAGTTATATGCATTAGCATGGTGGAGTGGGCCTTAAAGCCCATCTGCCGCATGTATGCATGGCTGTGTTGTTCTGGGGAGTGATCAATCAGAGCCCCCAGAACTCTAAGCGAAGTGTTACTGACAGCTCACGATCAACTACCAAGGACCGGGAGCTGGTTGGATGGGCATCTGATTACGTCATCACTGTACAGCCAATCGCAGTGAATGAAGGAATGGGAGTCCCTACTACCTGCTCGGGCCCCATGGTTCACTTAAAGGGCAAGGGGTGAAATAAAACAAATGCAGGTGGTCTGTGTGAATGAGACCAAAGACTGGCAGCTGGTCATGGAGAGGGGCATGGAGCATTGTATCATGCTGGTAATAGTGTTTATGTTTTGTGAAACATGCCATCAGATTATCCTTCTCATTTTCTAGCCGGCGTACTGTAGTTGGTTGATATGGGCAGCGCAGACACTTTTCTGCCCCAACTGGGAGGCCTTGTGTGTTTCTTATGCAAGCTGGCTGAGCCATATTTCTTCCAGATTATGTGTCACCCTGATCTGCATGAGCTGAATGTGAAGTGATGCGTGTCACAACTTCATCTCGCCATCTAGATGCTTATAACCATTTAGCTGTAACTTTCAACATTTCCTTAATCCTTATGTCAGCTTGTAATGAGAAGAAGGATGCTGTACACTTGCCATACTGTAAATTGATATGTTTTTTTAAAGGAACCCTAACTCTCATCTTTCTTGTATCCTTTGCATTTTTCCAATGTAAACATTAATGCATGAGTGTATAAGTCTAGTCTTGGCACTGAAAGAGCGTTTAAACACATTCTTGGCAAAATACTTTTCCTAGCTACTAGGATATGCCTAGTCAGGCTGCCCACAAGGTATATTGTGTAAACTTCTCTTGATCCTTTTCCTGATTCCCGCAAGTACATTAGCCCCTCTCATAGCTCTTGTGTCAGTCTAGCTAATGGAATACATTTCTGCATAGCCAACATACGCCCTGACATACGGCAGCAAGTACTTTTGGGATGGCACACAGATACCCTCACATCATTTGCTGACTGGGTCGGCACAACTAGAACCAAAGTGCCAACAGAGTAGGATGACAGGCACCTTCATCTTCTAGTCATTGGTTCTAGGTGTACTAATGCAGAGTTGGCAAACTGTTTCAGCCTGTTCGTGCTAGAGTGCTTTTATTTGGCTATGTCGTCTGGCCTTGTTATGTCTAGCCAGGGATGGCACAATACTGTTGGTCTGGTGGGGGGAGAAAGTATAAGCCTGGTCCTATCTGTCTAATGGTTGTTGGGGTATCTGTGCTTGGGCAGGTAGGTGTAGGAAAAACAAGGTATAGAAGAGCACAAGTACTAATCTTAACATAGAAGTCCAAAGACAAGAAGATGTCATGTTTCGGGTGCTATAGGGTTTTGCTTCATTAAACTGCTGGTTTGAATTTAGTGATGAGCTCAGGTTAGGGCTGAACCTGAACTTTTTGAAACTTGGAAGAAAGCTCCTTCTACTGCCACCCAGTCAACTACGACCAGGGAATTCCCTGCCTACAGCTGCAGGTAACCACAGGGGAGGGATGCTGTGAGGTCATTGACCTTATATGGTCACAAGGCAATTTTTGGAAAAATACATAATATGACCATTTGGCCATATGAGGTCAATGATGTCAATTCAAGCATCTCATCCCTTTATTAATGTGCACAATCTGCATTGTGGGGAATGCCACGGAGTGTAACAGATTTGGTGGGAGGACCCATCTCCCTTCCAGGTTCAGAGGAGCTTAGGTTCAGACCGCGTTTGGCCATATGAGGCCAATAATGTCACCACAAGCATTCCATCCCTTTTGTTAATGTGCAGCTGCATTGCGTGGATGTGATCATGCTTGTTAAAGAGAAGCCGTCACCTGTCATTGCCAACTTGTTTTAGAAGGTGTACGCTCCTGGGCTGTCACCCTTAAGCTGGCCACACACCTATAGATTATCTGCAGATTTTCTATGGTCAGATGGAGAAATTGCAACAGATTCCTCCATCTATGTTACACTGCGTGGATGGAGGAATCTCTCACTGGGCCAAGCTTCAGTATCTTGCTAGTCGGCCTCGCTGGCTCTCAAAACACCTGAGCAATGCCTGCATCCAATCAGATTGTTCAGGTATTTTGAGAGCCAGCGTGGCTGACTAGCAAGATACTGCTTACTGAATCACTAACCTGGTGCATGTTTGTTAGCTGGGCAAATGGACTTTCCTGACTCACTCAATAGCCAAAGAATGGACATTACAATCAGGGAACTAACCAGAAGACAGCAATCAAAATGCCGTAAGACTCCAAATACAATGGAAGTTAACACCCAGCTCTCTGTCTCATGTGTTGCAGTGCCTTCAGTTCTAAAAGGCACCCCAACATATCTGTGAACCATCCGTGCATTGTGTTGCAGTGCGCTGCATTGAAAAAAGTGCAGGTATGGTAAAACCTTCACAACCTCTTGTGAGTTGCAGTGCCTTGGCAGCCCATTCAACATGCAATGTATGTCAAATAATAACACTCCTTAACAGAGCCGTAGCTAGCTTCTTTTTGCGCCCAAGGCAAGAACAGAAAATTGTGCCCCCCAACAGATGTGTGATGTCAGCATAGGCAGATCGTACTTGCGATGATTGCAAGCCACGCCCCCTGAGGGGCGGGCTTCCGATGACCGCAATGCCGAACGGGCAGTGTGCACTTGCGCACACCGGCCCGTACGGCTGTTATCGTATGGACATGCCACAAACCCGCCGAACATCGTACAAAGCTCGGCGGGTTTTCGAACATGTCCGTAAGTTTAAAGTCGTGCGACCTTACAGTAGTAGAGGTCGCACGGCTTCCACACACCTTACAATAATCGTACGATCGCGGGATTTCCCGCGATTATCGTACGATTATCGTAAGGTGTGTGGGGACCCTTATAGGGAGGAGAATACTGTCTAGCACCGGGTGCATGGGTGGTATTGCAGCAGGCTATATGTACTGATAAATACTTCCTGTAGAGCATTGTATCCAGTCTATAGGAGATTTACACATACTCAGCCACCTATGTAGCCTTGTATTTACACGTTTCTTTGTTTTGTTTTCTCTGTATTATCATTTGCCATGTCTTAGTGACTTTGAAGCTTTAAGTATATATATATA